AATAACGCTGTATACATGTTGGTATAGGGTGTCAAATTAGAACCATTCGCTCATCTGTGTTTGATAATCCATTTAGTTTTGCTGCTTCAAGTTTTTTTAGTCTCTGCCTCATTAATTTCACACCTCAGTTTTTTTTCTGGTTTTGTTGCAATAATTGAACACATTTTCTAATTAAATTTACAAAACACGTTTGCAATGTTTTTAAAAACGGTTGTTTGTATATAAAATTAATAATTTTAAATTACATATATTATGAAATCATCTGCTTTGGATTTATAACGGTTGTTAATTGAAAATTTGTATTTGTTTTAACAAATCGTAAAAATGGTGGAGCTGTACGGGCGACACCATAAAATTATATGGAGTCATTAGGCTTTAAATAAAACTGTTCTCTTTTTTTTCTTGAATGAAAACAACATAATTTTTAGTGTAGTTAATAAATATCAAAATTGCTGCAAATTTTAGAATGTATATTTCGATTGAAATTGAAAAGTATTCTCAATTGCTTGCCAATCGTTTAAATGTACTAGCATAGACTATAGGATCTCTTTTGGTTCTATATTTCTTTTAGCTAGAATAGATTGTTGCCAATTGATTTCTTTTTGCATACAATTTTATAAGTTTAGCTCACGCTAAGTAGTTCAACCTTGGCCACAAAACAATTTTACATAATTATGAGCTGCTGAAATGCAAAATATTTTATTCACATATGAACCGTATAATATATAAACCTGCAAATTTATATATGCATAAATATATGTACATATATACCTTCAAGTGCTAAAACTGCCTCATAATAGCGAACAATTCGCATTGTAAGATCATTTAGCTCATTTTAATGGACATTTATGAGAGTCTTGTGAAAAATGTGTTGTTTTTTTTAATGTATACATATACATATATTTAAATAGGTAAGCTTAGGGAACATAAACAGTTAGTAAATGCTAGCTTTTAGGTCAGCTTAATTATAGCTATAAAGATCACATTTAAATAAAATATTAAACGTGTGTTAATTATTTGATTCGTCCCTTTTCTGGAGGTTCATTAATTTGTATATGTAGTCTTTTTTTGATATAAATTTAAAAATATCTTTGATAAAGTAAATTTGTAAATTTAAATATTCATTAAGTATTAGGCAAATAGCTTTCATTTAAAGGAACAAACAATAAATAAATGTTTGATATTAGGAAAGCTCGCCTAATCTAAAAATTATTCCCTTTTTGTGACAAGGGGCCTCCACTTTCACTATTGACTTAAAAGAGAGTTAGACACTACAAATAAGTCCAAATATTTCATTTCTTTTATTTCTTTTATTTTTTTGTCACCTATGGAATTCCATTTTGAGACTGATGAAATTTCTATATGGGTGGAGTTTTTTGTATAGCCAAATTGGTTAAGGCTTTGCAAAAACAGATTTTCACTTTTTTTGAAACACAATAACAATATGATAAAATAAAAGTTATGGACACTGAGACTAATTTAGATTATATACATTTTATCTAAATATATTCATTTTTATATGACAGATTAAAATTCTGAATCTCTAATCATATACCTCATTCAGATCGTATATCTTATGTATAACTTATCTCTTATCAAATAATGTATAACGCTTATCTTGCATGTAGTATGTGAAGCGACACTTCCTAAAGTCCCATCAAAAACATATTATATTGCGACAAGTTTTTAAAGTAGTTCAAATCGTTTATGCCCACTTAATACTTGTTTTAGTTTCGTCTTACCTTTTTAGCCACATTCATTTGATTTTTAAGTGGTATGATTCAATATACAGACAAGCATACGAATATTACATATGTATTTACATTCCACTTTCGTTCCGCAACGAGTTCTTGAGTTTGGTCATGGCAAAAGTTATAGCGGGTTACTTGTTTGTTTTTCTGTTTTTTTTTTTCTTTATTTTCTGCCGTTTTGTTGAGCTAAGCCTGTTGACCAAGTCGTTCGACAAACTGCAATCAGATCAGGCGACAAAGAGAAAACTGGTTTTTTGACACTCAGCAAGTTGGTGCTACGAACAGAGAGACTTGTTCCCTAAGCAGTTCGGCTGAATCATCAGTTAGCATATGCTCGGCTTATATATGTACATGCTCGGCTATTAGATAAATTTATGAAATTAATGTCATGCGAAAGCGTGAGCAGAGTTTTAATAATATTCATAAGCGAATTTGTTTACACACATTTTGATTGTTTCATATCTAGCATATTTCTAGAAATATTCATTTCTAGAAATATTGATTAATTCAAAGAAAACAAAAAAAAAGTTTATATATTGCTTAAAGTAAAAACATTTAAAGTTGTGTTTATCTGCTTGAATTCAACCGAATCTGTTCGCTGATAAAGTAGGGTAAAACTTCATAGAAATACATATAATAAAACTGCATTCATATCAATAATTGAAAAAGTCTGTTATATGTGAAGGGTTTTACTTATGAGTTCATATGTTAAGTAAGCTCTATCAAACAGTCCAGCTTAATATAAATATGCATACATAATACTTACATTCACATATGTGTGCATGTAGATATGTCTGTGTATATGTGTTTATATTGAATTGTGGCCCAATATTCGTGCAGCTGTTCGCATTTTCATGCGGTTGGCTGCCTTTAAGATATCCCTCTCTCTCTCTCACTGTCTTGCCCTCAGTCTCGCACACACACACACACAGTCTTTTGCTGCTTTGCTTTTGCTGTTCCAGTTCTCCACGTGTGTTTGGCTAAGCTTGCAATTAGCCACTGTGGCGGCAACGGCGACGTCGCGACGCGTCGGCGTCGGCGGCGGCGGTGGCAGACCTGTTGGGTTCGCTAGTCAAATAAATAAGCAAAATAAAAGCGCAAAAAGCAACAACCAAAAGAAGAGGAAGAAGAAAAGAAGAAGTATTTTGCACGTAACTGAAATGCAAAAATCAACATAATCAACACAATTCGTAGATCTAACGGTGTTTGTGTATCTCATTGGTACCATTAAGAAAACTCAAACCGGTTCCGTTTCGTTTGGTCGGTTCATTCGCTCATTTGCTCGCTCGCTCCGTCATTCCGTCACTCGTTCGCTCGACTTGTTCATTGAACCGAGTCTCTCTCACTCAAAGAGCGTGTGTTTGTGCGCGCGAATCGCATTTGGCATGATCTAAACAATTCTTTTGATATATTCAAGAGTACAAATAATATATATAGCTTTTGAAGAAATGCAATAAATTTAAATCAACATTTCTTTTCAGAAAAATAAAGATAAACAAATCTAAATTTTTTGTATGCCAAAATAGCAAACATTTTTTGTTTACAAATTATAAATAAAGAAACGAAATAAAAAGAAATAACAAAATTAAAACAAAGAAAAGTTTAAGTGAAATTTTTGCTGCAGCTGCCAACGATCACAGAGATCAGGGATATTCAACTAAATATATTTTATATTGCCTAAAAGCATACGTAAAATATGGCATAAAAGGTGAGTGACAATGCACAATTATTTAGATTTTAGTATTACATGAGTTTTATGAATAAAATTAACTTCTAGATGTTTCTAGATACAGATGTAGAAAGGGTTAATAGACCTAAAGATTTATTTTAAAAATCTATGTGCGGAAATTGATATATAATATCTGTTTTAAGAGATATATGATATGAAAAAATAATCGCAAAAAACGTAATATTTTTTTTATAAAATTTATGGCCCTATTTGGGAGTTTAGTTTCTGCCTTTTTCTTGTAGCTAAATCTAAGTTAACTACAGCTAAGCCTGACTATGATTTGCCTTATGATTCGACACCCTTTTAATATTTTTCATTTCCGGACTCAAACCCGCTCACTTGCACCTGAAACCTTGTTTACCCACAAACAAAAATCACTTGTGCTACTTTAAACTATGTCATTTCTGTGCTATGCCCATGAAAGTTTTCGGTTAGCTTGTTATTTATTTGTTTACCTTATTTTATTGTTGTTTCCCTTTTAATGTCAACGGCGAATTTCGCAAGCTGCGTAAACTTTCGAGTGGAGGCATTTGGAAAATATTTCATGTCATTAGCATTTGAATAGCTCATTTTGGGGGGTATTACGTGATTTCGGTTCGATTCGAAAATCAAACTGCATCAAAGTGAGAAGCAAAAAGTCGTAACAAAAGCCAGTGTCAACCAAAATATCAATCATAAACAAAGTCGCAAGAGCAACTATTGCTGACAGCCCAAACTTGGGCCGACAATGATGTGACTGAACACGAAACAAACTCACAAATATTCACACACTCACACACATACATACATATATATATATATATAGGAAAAACTTTACAAAGTAGCAGAATGTTTGCCTGCTGCCAGCAATCAAGGCATGTGAAAATGTGTGGAAAATCGATTAAAACAACGTAATGGAAAAACTTGAAGCTACCTAAAAACAACAACAACAACAACAACAGCAACAACATAAAGCATTTCTTTTTGTCCGCCCGCTGTCAGAACCTTCAATCAGAAAGGGCTCGACGTCTATTAGCTGCTTATACACTTTAGCTAATTCTTTCGTCGGCATTCGTCGAAATGTACGTAATGCCCATTTGCAGTGTAATTCTCAACATTATCCAGATATGATTGGGCTTTGGTTAATGTCATTTTTTTTGTGTGCTTTGCTTTCAACTCATTTTTTATGGCCTAGACGACGCGACGCACCTTTGTCTTTCTTTCCCTTTCGTTGAGGCCTAAAACTTTTGGCCCTGCATTACAATTAAGTTATATAAAATGAGTGTATGAGTGTGTGTGTGTGTGAAATATTGTTGTAATCATCGAATGAGTTTTTGCTATCGTCTAATTACTAGCAAAAGCGCACAATAAATTTATGTTTTTCGTGTAAATTGTGAAACATGCGCATTGGCCGCGCAGGAAATGTATTTATAATCTAAAAATGAAAATGAAAATGTTTTCCCCAACACCTTAATTATGAAAATAGTTACATCATGAATGTGCAGTGTGTAATTGCCCTGATTTTGGATGGATAATTTGGAAAAGTTCACATAAATACTATAATTACCATACGATGCAATCAGAGTGTTGCCTCAATCTAATTAGAAATGGAGGTGCACCACATTAAATGAAGGCGGTTTCAAATCGTTAATTGATACATTTGTTAGTATCTTTAATTGAATTGATAATTGCATTAATTTAAGCGATAGACCAAAAACCAAAAACTTGTTTTATTAGTTGATTGAAAATGTACTCCCTTTATTTACTTCCATTTACAATTCCTGATTTAATAAGAAAGTTTTCAACTATTTTAAATAAATCTACTCTGTTCATGTCATGGAGGCTCTCTCAAATCGTTAGCTTATTTACGCTGAAGTTGGCACGTTCATAGAACCAGACAGACATCTGAAAGAAACTGTCCTAAGGCACCTCTTAATCGTAATCAAAATATAAATACTTAAAGCCGTATAAAAAAGGCCTAAATCCTAGCTAAGCATATTTACTCCAGGCATGCTTTAACTATAAAAAACTTGACGAATTCCCAACCCAGCCTTATCATTGTTCATTAATTTAACGCTCTGCTTCACCACAAAAAGGTAAAACAACATAGATGCGAAGCACAAACAAAAGCGCAGAACTTCAGAGGAAGTAAACAAAAAATAAAGCACGAATACACTTAAAGTTTGCCTTTCATTGGTTAGGGCCATTTGATGTGTTCTGTATTTGGCCACGGCCTAGCTACAAATTTTCCATTTCAGTGGCCATTAAAAGCGCATAAAAATAACTAGACGAAGTGCTTAAAATTTAAGTTTACAAACTGCCCCGATTTAATATGTGTTTTCGGGCAGCTTTAATGAGATTTTAAAATGTAAGCAAAAGTAAATTGAATTTAAAAGACTTTAAGAGTACACAAATAGAACTCGGCTATATATTCAAATGAGATGTTTGGGCTTTAAAAATAAAAATTTAATAGAAATGAAAATGAAAATGGAAATGAAAAAGATTCATTTTCATATGTGGCGGGTTTTGCTTTTGTGTCTATTCTCAGGGCTGGGAGAAAGCAGCTGATGTTGACTAAAACTTGAATAAAATAAACCAAATAAAAAACACTTGACTATTAAATACCCTGTATTTTATTTGAAAGAATAAATATTGTTGGCAATGGCAAAAAATTAAGCTAAGAGGTTTTATTTATATATATGTATAAATATATATGGATTTCTGTATGAATTTGTCATATAAATATATGAAGTACGCATATAATTTTAGCTTACATTCATATTTTATGACTAAGCGCAAGTTTGAGAAGTCAAATCTGAATGGCGAGGTCTATATATACATGTATTGTTGTGTTATGCGTAAGTCGTTACGGCTTACGTACTTTCTGTGCATAACCAGGTATCTCTCTTTACTGAATGCTTGCTCATTATCTGGAATATTTTCAGCTGAGATGAAATTTGTGAATTATTGACTGCTTGTGGAAAGAGATGATTTAAGTTTATATATTATCAACAGAATGTAATTTTAGGCTTGCTAATTCTTTTGAGTTCTACATAATAGCACATTAAATATTTATATTCAATATTCACACTTAAATGTGATAAAATCTTTAAATGTATTCTTAAATCAAATTCAAAATATTTAAACAAATGCAAAAATTGATTCTATTTATAATTATAAGCAAATAAAAAATTTTAATTGAATTAACATTAAAATGTTAAGCAGGTCATATATGATATCTTTAATTTGCCCGTTTAGCCTCAGGTATTCTCAGGCAAAGCTAAGCTTAAAATTGATATACCCTACTCAGACTACGGGTAAAACAATGTTACACCTCATTCACATGGACAACAATAGCACGAAAAATAATAATAATAATAGTAATAATAATTTGACTTGTGTAAGTTCAACGAAACTACACAAAAACAATTTAACTACTGTGCGTATCTCAGTGTGTGTATTTGTACACGGCTACAGGCCATGTATCTGTATCTGTATCTGTATCTGTATCGTTGCACTTGTATCTCTCTCCACTGTGTCAGCCGACAGTTGAAACAGATTTAGGACGCAGCTATTCGCCTATTTATTTAATTTTTGTTATGGCACAACACATCGCGAATACACCGTGTGCCTAAGCGTGTGTGTGTGTGTGTGTGTGTGTCTGTGTGTGTTTGTGTGATTGCTGTTACTTTGTCGCATGTTTGAATTTCAAAATTTTTTTAGGTCATACTAATATATGTAGTTGTTGTTGCTGCAAAGTGCAACTCGTGCCGTGTTTATCTAAAATTAATTTGGGAAAATATGAACACGACTCTCTTCGAATCGTGTCGCACAATTAAAGCAAAATTTCTGTTTGCATTTATCCCAGGCCGGAAGTGGGCTGATAATGAATTCCAGATAAGCCATATGGGCAGGAGGTATTTTATTGTCAATAGCGCGAATTGCTGAATTCTCTGGAAATGAAAATTCCTAAAAAATACTCATAATTCCCATCAAATAATTTGCATATTTATTGGCATTCGCACATATCCAGAATTTTGAGTACTCACTTACTTGAATACAAATATAAAGAAATTCATACATGTAACTCAATTAGGGCTTTACAGCTAGACGATTTCATGCACTGATGTTTGAATAGAATTTCATTTGAATTGCAAATAACGTCGAGAGCTCTTCATTTACGCTTATTGAGCGCAATATTTGATTGACGCACGATAACGTAAAGCTCTTGCTTAATACTATAGACGCTACATAAGAGTGAACTAGCATAAAATGCTATTTTGTCATTCTTAATACATAGTCTGTAGTGCTCTAAGTATCTCCCAACTAGAGCACTAGTTCTCCTTGGCTTAGTTTCGGCGTGCGAAACTAAAGTTTGTATCAAATGCTTTTAACATTTTTGCGTACTTTAGCAGAGTTTCAAGCGAGAGAATTAAGAATTCTAATTGCAGATCCATTAAGAATTGACATTCGAATAACGAGTAATTCATGTTTAATGTGTCCACTTTTAAAGACCTAAAATTTATTTAATCTTTGTGTTGCC